ATGTTTAGTCTTTAACAAGCATAGACTTCCACTCCCATTCATTACAAACATTCACCCTCTTCTTTGCCAGGATCAACCTGTTTTGCTTACACAACCTTTCCTGTTCTGAACACAGACTGGGGATAGGCATACCTGGTTAAGCAAGAAGTTTGTATACCCTGAAAAGAGGTATTAGCTGACTGGTATTAGGGTATATTTAATGCTTGGGATTGGTGATTCCTGTTCTTATACCCTGGTTTTAACCAGCAAAGTGTATGTGTACCATGCCTTCTTCCATGGCATTCTGTTAGGATCTGCAGCCAGGTTATCTGGTTACACCTTCAGCATGGCATACAGGTTCACTTATCTGTGGGGAAATATTTGCTTATGGTTTATTTAGGCTTAAGTTTCAGAATTTGATTGTTATAGTTTAGAGGGCAAGAGTACCTTGCAATGGGATCTGATTTGCCGTAACCCTTCTCCCAGAATTTGGGCATGGCTTTGGCAGTGGGTGCAGCTAAGGCACTTTTGGAGGAAAGAAAATCTGATGCAAGAATAGGCCTTTTGATTAGGTGCAGTACTCTCATGCTTGATCCTAACACACACCACACTAAGGTTTTTAGCTTGAGGAGTGTATTAAGGGCCACAAGTTCATTTACAGGGAAAACATACTTTGGGCCTGTAGGGTCTTCAGTATGGCTTAGTTGTGATTCCAGGAGGTGCCAGGTAATCTAGATTTTGCTTTAGGTAAATAACATTGATGACAGAGGACTTTCAACTCAGACATTTGTTTGTAAATTTTATTGGCACCATCGCAAGTGGAAACAACAATAAAGTCCTGCTTTGTTCTTGGTTACTATCTGGATCTTTATCTGCTAAGAATGCTAGAAATTGTGGTATTTTCATCCTGGTACTATTAGATGCACTCTTGTTACAAAGCACAATGGTTTAATGTAAAAGTAGAGATGGTTTTTAAAGACTCAGAGTTGGAGTCTACAGGTCCCCTTGTTCTCATAATGCAACCAGCATAGAGCTACTGTATACCAAAACGGAATTAAATATGTTAAATAAACTTTAATATTAACAATAATGAGTAACTGACACAAGTGTCAGACTTTTTTGGTAGGAAAAGAAAACCAAATAAGAAATTTCTGAACTACTTCTGTGCATGGAAATAATTGAAATGTGTTTATTGCTGTTGTTAAATATTACGAGATTTGGAAAGCAACAATATCTCTGCTAACCAAGATTGATTTTGATTTTAGTATAATCATATAGGGTTAGTTTAATGTTTTATGTTTAACTTGAATGTTTCATCTGAGTCTGTATAAATAGCTTAATGAAAATGTGAATGCAACTTAGAGGAACTGATTCCTGCTGTGTGCGGCAACCCATAAAAGGGCAAAAAAATTCTGTAGCAACTGTTGTTAAAAGGACAGATATCTTGTATGGGCATAGATTGTTTGGTCTGAGTATTAGCTGTCTACTTTTCAATATAGAATCCCTACTGGGTTTTGATCGAACTTGCTTTGAAAGTACATTGTAGATCAATACTAAAGGGGCTAATGGACTGTGTGCTAGTTAAATATCAGTGAAACATTCCTCCAAAACTCAAAGTTTCTGAATTTATTTAATAGTATTTGTAAAAATAAATCTGTTAGAAATGTGCAGTTCATATCAGAAAACTGATATAAATATTTTTATTCATAATTGGTAATTCACTCTACTTTTTGTAATAAAGCATTTCAGAGTCCTTTTATAATTACAGTACTTCAGGGTTATTCCTAATGCAATCTTATGTTAATCAAAATATTTTACCCAATAAAATATAAGACATAAGGGTTTGAAAAACTTTGGTGTGAGTTCAGTTGCTAGATGGAGTTTCAGAAGTACAAGGGATGCCCCGAAAAAATTGCACTGATTTGAAAAATTCTGCTGGTTCTAAAGGAATTCTTATTCTGTATTTTTGATTTCCTGAGCAGAATCTTTCAAACGGTAAAACTTTTCAAGCAAGCCTGCTTTATACAGGTAAGAATAACAATAAATTAATGTAGTCTTAAAGGCTTTTGTTTTTGAATGTAAACTGTTTATGGATCTAAATAAAATTACATTTAACATGCAGTTGTTCTGCTTGTGAATCTGAGTTGCACTGCAAAGGGAGCGCAGATAGAACAGTGCTTACTGAAAATATGATGTCCCCGTGGATGCTAGAAAAAGCCTGCTGGGGAACATCCCTCTCTGTGCTTTAAAAATATGGATGAAGCACGCTCCCAACGGGGTCATCACATCACAAAGGTACATGGTGCCTTAGAGCCAACATCTCTTAGGCTGCTAATGCCTTTAGTATTGCTCGCCGCCACCCCATCCATGCTTTACACTGCCACATACTGGGACTAGCCTCTTGTATATGGATGCACTGGAAGGGAAAAATTCATTTGTGCTCACTTCCTCTCTTCAGAACTCTTACACATTGGGGGCATAGTTTAGACCTTATATTTTCAAATCAAAATATTTGAAAATAATTTTCTTCGTTATTTACCTGTCATGCCCTGAGTTTGAAGTTCTAGGGTACTTCCCTGGTATATGTTGGTAACATCAGAGGATCTATCTATTCTCTACATGCAGCTTTAGATGCTTTTTTTATTTATAAAATAAGCCTCTTTGAAATTTCTAGGTGCACGTATGTATTTAAAGAGTAATCATTACAAGCTGACTCAATGTCTCGAAAAGAATCAACAACTTTCCATTCCCAAAAGTGTGCCACAGGTCAGTTCCTCAGGTAAAGGCCTATGTAAAGAGGTGGACCTTGCAGTGTACTTGTGATGTATTGAACAAATGGGGGAAGTAAGTTCTAGATGAGAAATGCTCTCTCAAAGACATCATGCTTCCAGTTTGCAGCCATTTAAATCTGAGGATTCAGTTAAAGCATTTCTGCTATCTCAGCTGTTGTGATCTTTTGTGACAAATCTACTGAACAAAGAAAGGTTCTGTGGAATTGGGGGGCTGGTTGGTGATGAGTTGGTCAGAGAGGCAGATGATTGGGGGCGCCTGGGGGGAGGGTGGCATTTTGAAGATATTTGGTAGATCGCTTATTCAGATCTAATATGTACTACAGCCTAGCAGCTACGGCAACTTAAATTGTTTGCCCTGAGATGTGGTATAGCTGTTGAGCTTCCAAGTACTGCATTGAAAAGGGATCGTGCACCACAGCTTCCATACATCCCATGAAGAAGGGAGGATTGTACAATAAAAATTAAGCATGTACTTTAGTGCTGTGCTGAATAGGGATGAACTTAACCATGTTCTTATGTGCTTTGATGAACTGGAGCCTAAGGCATCCAAGATCTAGTCTTTGAAAAATCAATATGGAAGGGAGCGCTTGGAAATATCAAAACAAGGTTTTAAAATGACATCAGTGGCTTTAATGTAACATCTCTTTAGATAATACTCTTACCATTTACAAATAAATATAACATAAAGATCATTTGAAGATGATTTAGGGATACTTTTGGACAAACTCAATAAAGTGCTGACAGATCACATGAGGGAAACTCATTCTCTCAATCCTTAAGCATTGAATTACATTGTAAACTAGAATTTAGGACAATTTGTGTAAAGCAGCACCTAAGGTTGCCGGAGTTAATAGGAATAGGAGCAGGAGGAGGCAGTGATCATTGGCAGAAATATGTTTGTCTTCAAAGTGGCCTGCAGTTTGTGTTTGAAAGGTTCCTCTGTTTCATTATGGTAAGGATCCACATAAGGGGTATCTTTTACCCCATTCTGGGCTTTTACCATGTGTAAAAGTCCATGGTAGTAAAATGTTCTATTAGCTGAGTCAGTTGTGCATTCTAATATTTTATGCAGGACCTCAAATTGTCTGATTTACCTAAATCTAGGGTAAACTCCTCCAACCTGGTGTATTTTTTTTTTTAAACCATGAAGGCATATGCTCTTGACGGGTAGGTCCTTTGCCTGCATGACAATACTCCCTGCAGTATATCTCTCTGAATCATTATCATGGAAATAATATGCAGAATATACATTGATGTATTAAAATATTTAGAACCTTCTCTATGCTAGTGGAGTTTATGGAAATTAAACAGCAGAATAATATAATTTAAGGGAGTCTTCTTCCTGTACTTTGATTTGGTCACTATACAGTAGAGACAGATACTCTTTTATGCAGTTAAGGGATAAGGAGTTACAATATAATTTTACTATTTTCATTTACTTTGATTAGCATATATTAGCTTGCAGTAAAGACTGTATGTATTTAGGATAAGGGATAAGGATAAGGGATAAGGAGTTACAATATAATTTTACTATTTTCATTTACTTTGATTAGCATATATTAGCTTGCAGTAAAGATTATATGTATTTACCTTGTCTCATCACTTTATGTTTTTGACGTGTCTACTCAGTATTCTTCATATTATTCTTACCTTCTTTTCCAAAAGCCGCACGATTTACTGCATTAACAATTCATCTGACCTCTTTTAAACCTTTTGTATGACTATGTAATAACTCCCAGAAATGACAGGAGGAGTCTTTAATTTGACAGTGAAATTGGTGACAGAAAATAGTTATGTTTTCTTAATTATTTCCTGGTTAATCAAATTAGCTGCACACACATTAATGTTATATTTAGCACAACAAATAGACAAATAATCTGGTGATAATCTTAACATGTTGGTGTCCATTCAGAGTTTCTGCTTGCTTCTGCCATTGGTTTAAGTGCAGTTAAATCAGAGTAATGTTGTACAGTAGTTAAGATTCATAACTCAAGCAGAACATTGTCACCATCAAAATGCATTTTGGTGAAAACTTTAAAGTGTTTGCAGTGTTTTATTACACTGTCTCTTCCTACTTTCCTTTTGAATTCAGTAAATACCTCTTTGATTGAAGGGCAGTAATTATACGTGCTAACTTTTAAGGGGGAAAAATTGATGAAGGAGAATTTTAAATGTGCCAGTACTGGTTATAGCTAGGAGTACCTTCTAACTCGCTCTGTTTAAATTTAGGGAGAGCCTATCACTTTCTGTGAGGACAGTTTTGTGAAGCATCGTTCAAGTACTACCAAACAGTTCCTGGAAACTGCAGTGAATCTTCAACTTTTTAAACAGGTATGACAGGCCAATTGACCTCGTGATCTAACAGTTTCCTTCTAACAGATATCAGACATATATGTTGTCCTCTCTGCCTCTGTATCCATTGCCTGTCAGCTTTTGAAAGCTCTCAGGAAGACCATTTTGAGAGGAAATAAAGGAGAGAGGGGGGAATGGCAAATGTTTAACTCCTATAAGTGTGGAAAGAATCTTCCCAACCCCATTGTATCTCAGTGCAGGCACAAACACAGTCCCCACTTTTACCCGCAAATGACTGGCTGTGTCTGCCTCTGGAGCCAATCAAGAACTCCCTTGAAAAGGAAAAAGCAAGGAGCTCCCTGAACTTTAGCAGCTGAACTTTTCAGCCTCTTCAGTATAGTCAGGCTCTATTGGTCAACGGACAAAGGACCAAAGCACTTAACACTTTGTTACACAGAATTTTTCAAAATCAGGACCTCAGCCAAACAAATAAATTAATAGTTTCATGAAAATTCCTCCGTATTGAGTTTGGTTGACCGCAAAACAACATTTCCTATGGAGGATTTACAGCTCAGTAATAACTATTGTAGTATTCAGAGGAACAGCCGTGTTAGTCTGTATTCGCAAAAAGAAAAGGAGTACTTGTGGCACCTTAGAGACTAACCAATTTATTTGAGCATGAGCTTTCGTGAGCTACAGCTCACTTCATCAGATGTTTACCGTGGAAACTGCAGCAGACTTTATATACACACAGAGAATGTAAAGTCTATAATGTAAATGTATAATGTAAATGTAAATGTAATATAAAGTCTGCTGCAGTTTCCACGGTAAACATCTGATGAAGTGAGCTGTAGCTCACGAAAGCTCATGCTCAAATAAATTGGTTAGTCTCTAAGGTGCCACAAGTACTCCTTTTCTTATTGTAGTATTACACAACATGGCTTCAGCACGATCCATGATGCACTTTTTTCATGCTATTTTCTCCTGGCTTTTCTCTTTGTCCTCCCTTTCGATTCCCTTATGTAATTTAGTTGTTTGAAAGAGGGTCAAGAGACCGACCATAAACTTGTAGACCAGTAAGCTTATCTTTGTTTGCGCGCAAATCTGAGAAAACATCTTCTGGGATAAGGTGGGAAAACTTCTAGAAAAAACATGGTTTGATTGAAGCTAGCCTGAATGAATTCAGGCAGGGGAGTAAATGCTTAACTAATCTGCTAGAGTTCTTTGAAGATATACTATCATAATAGATAAGGAAAATTCATTGGATGTAGAATACTTTGATTTTCAAAAAGCATTTGACAAGTTTCTGTATCAAAGATTAATGGCTAAGGTAGAGATTTATAAACTACAAGGATGCTAGCTTGTAGTAGTCATAGGTAGACACTTTTCTAATTGGACAACATTATGGAAATACCTACAAATAAATAACATAAATACAGACTTTAAAAATAATAGAATAATAGATGGAGTACTCCAGGGATCAACTCTTAGAATCCAATTTATTTTATTTAACTGTATTATATCTGCAGGGGCAAAGGTTTCATTTATATGAAGTGTTAAAAGAGGTATTTTAAACATTTATAAGTGTTTACCAGATTAAGATTGGTGGTAGAGAAAGTAATATAACATGGAAACATCATTATTTTTATTGCTGTGATCCAGTGTTACATGTTTCTGAGTTTCTTCAGCTATCAGGGATATTTGTCAATAAAAGGCTACTGCTCATGCCGAAGAGTCTGAATTATGATATGAGTATTGTGGCCAGATCCTCAGATGGAGTAAATTAGAGTAGTTCCACTGAAGTTATTAGAGCTCTGTCAGTTTCCATCTAGCTGTTCAATTGTAATTTATATGTAATTTTAAAGAACACTTAACAATTTTATTATTTTTCTGACATTTCTTCATACCGAGGAAGTAATATACCTTTGAAGATGAGAATATCTTAAAATTATTATATTTTAAATGTTTTTAAGAGCTAATATGTTGCCTTTTCTTTAGTTATGATCTGCTGTGTTTCCTCTCACTTCTCTAATTAATCCACAGCGCAGCTGCCTCATCTCCAGCAGTTCCCCACTGACAACTGGGCTGCTTTCAAGGTTGTTTGTGTTTTCAAAGGCTAACATGAGTTTACTGGGTTCCTGATACGGAGCATTATTTTTAGCAGAAAATAATTCTTGAAAGCAGCCTAGACACCTAGGCTGGTCTGCCTGGAGGTGTTTTAACTGCAGTTTTTTTGCTGCATATGAGCTTTGTCTGCCACTTTCAGAAGTGCTGCCCTGGCACTTATTCTTTTTTTGTTTTTGCAACTGAGGTCCATTCTTACCACCAAACTCTGCAACACTTCTCAATGGATGCAGTACTTTCAATGGTGGATTTGCACCACGGAATAGCTAAATCAAGAACCATTACATGACTATACTAACTCCCAGTAAAGTTCATCTTCTGATAGCTGACCTAAATTATCTGTAGCTCCTTGTTATCCAGAACAAACACTTGTCTTCATTGTCTGTTGTTTACTTTATTATGTATTTGACCAAACTTATTCTATATTCCACATACTATTTGAATAATAATATGAATTATTAAGCTTTGTAATAGACATTTATTATCAAAGATGGCCTGTCCACTGTTGAGTGGTTGTGAAGTGTGTTTTTCAAGATCTCTGAGGTTGGTTGGGGAAGAATCTATAGACTGTAATGTTGCACTTAACACCTCTGCTATCTTTTGTTGTAATTAGTTTCTTTCTTTTGTTTAGCACATAAACTGTGTCTCAGATACTGCAGTTCCTTCATATCAAAAGTGTATCTGAACATTATGTTACCGCAGTGGATAACTTCGCAAACACTGACATTTAACCAGTAATCTGTAAACAAGTTCAAGACATACCTATATTTGTTTTGTGGAAAAGAAAAGGAAGAAGGGGGAAGTAAAAGAAGAAGCCATTGGAATTAAGTAAACTAAAAAGGGCAAGCATTCTGTGTTTAGTTGCCTTTTTTCTTTTCCTAAAGCTTCTTAGATTATTATTGTATTGACTGCTTTGACTCTAAGAAGTGACTGTGTACAAATTTAACATTCTTACTCAGCAGATCTGCTCCTTATGTATGTCCAAAGTCAGATCTTTTCACTTTAGTGACAAAAACATTTTTTTAAACTATTTTTTCCTCCTGTTGGCCTTGCATCTGTTGTAGAGGCAGTTGGATTATTTCATCATCAGAGACATTAACTACACTCCAATGGCAGGGCAAACTTTTACCCACAGACACATTTGCATTACTCTCTTGAAGTCAATAGTGTAGCATTGGTGTAATGGATGGCAGACTTTGACTGACATATTCTGTGTTACAGATGATGTTGCATTAGCCACAGAGAACACAGATTTCAAATCCCAGGATAAAATTTCATAGGTGGAAATTGGTCTGTCTGCTTAAAAACTGATATTTTCAAGACAAAAATACAGTAAGCTTGATTAGGGTACACATTACAGGAGTCTTGTAATGATACCCAAATCAAGCATAAATAAATCCTGGAAATTCACAGGTTAGGTTAAATTTAAAAGAAATCTAACCACCTTCACTATGCCCTGTAGTGACACTATGCAGTAAGAATACAATTATGATTCATGCATAGTAGGGTTTGTGGTCCCAGATCAGATTAAATTTATTTTTAAAGACCCACTAGAATGTTTTTTATTATATCCGTAGAAGACTGCTGCCTTCGTACCGAAATCATTAAAGTCCTCTCAGTTGTATAATTTTAGCATAGAATCTGGCCTTCCTCCTGCTATACTTCCCCACTGACATGGCAATATTTTAACTAAAAGCATGTTATATGGAACAGGGTTCATAGCCCTGCGGCATTTGGTGCCCTTTTTTATAACCCATTTGTGGATTTTTAGAGTTTCCCTCAGCCCTGATCAAGACTTTTCATGTTTAAAACCAAGATAGCCTTATTCTTTAGTTCTGAGAGGAGATTTAATTTCAGTAGATAAAGCTTTGTGCCTGAGAAGAGGTCCATATTTTAATTAAATAAGTCAGATATGCCAATTTTTCCTTCAGGCTCAACAGCTTGTATTTCCTTAGATTTGACGGCTGTGTTACTCCTTTTCCAGCTTTTCTTCAGCCTTTTGGGATGACTTATTAATTTTGGGTTTTTTTCCAGTCCAGTCTCCTTTTATTAGGATGATGTAATATTACTGTTGTTAAACCTCATGTTAGAAGTCTGGAGTTTAGCTACTGCTTGTTCCCAGCTTCAAACACCAGCTATAAGTCGTTGTGTTTTGGACCTTAAATATTTTTGATGGGTGTCCAGTGAAAATAATAACTCATTTATAAGGAATATCTGGACCAGCAAGGAGATTTTCTAAGGTACATACTGTTAACTATAAATTCCCATTATATAACATATTGGTATTTTTCCTCACTGAACTCTGCCTTCCTCCAGTTCTTCCCACTGCTTATATCTTTCTCATTCTTTCTACAAACATCCAGCTGGCTTGGCAAGTTGCCTGAATTGTGAGACCTTTGCCTGAGCACTCAGATGCATTTTTTAGTGTGTTGGTGTTTATTGTTTTGGGGTTCCAATGTACATTTTCCTTTCTCGTTGCATCAGCAACCTCTTAGTGTTTCCAGCATCTTTTTTCTCTTTATGTACCCCATCTTCAAAGGAGGAAAGAGCTCTGCTCCACAGCTTAAAGCCATGCAGCAGAACTATATTCAGTATAGACAACCATACTCTTTGCACTGTGCCTAGAAGTCAACCCCAGTGCACACGTGTTAGATTTGCATTCAGATATCACCCTATTTGATAAGGAAACATGGGCAGCACCTCTCAAGCCTCTTTGGAACATCCCAGGAAAACGCCTATAAGTCTACCACGAAATGACCCAGCTAGAGCAAAGTGTAAACCCTTGAAAGAAAAAGCTTGAGTCAGCCAAGACCAGTGAGCATCAGGAACGCAGTGCTAGCACCCTCCCTAACGGCTCTAGCAAAATCAGCGTGAATGCTTTATGAAGTTCTGTTGATGCTCCAGGCCCCCACTTCACTTACAGAATTCTAGCTGCTTGAGTCAGAGCAGGCAGAAGATCAGGGTGATAAGGACTGCTGTCTGGACTCAGATACATATTCTTTTGAAGGGGCACCAAGACAGCAACTTCATGAGAAAAGAAACTGTTTCCTCCAGATTTTGCAGAAGCTGTTAAACCTTGGCTATTTTTTTGTTATGAGTCACTCCTTAAGCTTCCTCCTCCTCGAAAATGAGAATACTCACAGATTATATCTACAGAGAAGCGGAAATTACTTACCTTTAATTCTGCTTTCCTGAAGATACAATTTACGATAGGTTTCAGAGTAGCAGCCATGTTAGTCTGGATGTGCAAAAAGAACAGGAGGACTTGTGGCACCTTAGAGACTAACCAATTTATTTGAGCATAAATTTTCGTGAGCTACAGCTCACACTGCATGCATCCGATGAAGTGAGCTGTAGCTCACGAAAGCTCATGCTCAAATAAATTGGTTAGTCTCTAAGGTGCCACAAGTCCTCCTTTTCGATTTACGATAGGATTTTCATTCATTCTCCTACATCACTTCAGAAATTATTTTCTTTAAAGTGATTTCTTTCTCATACCTGATTGTTTTCTCCTCTGAAGCATGCTTTTAGATTGCATTACCTAATTTTGAATTGGCTTATCATGGGAGCTCTGTCTTCTGCACAACCAAATGAATTGGCTGGCGTCTCCTGTTTGCTACAGGCAGTGGCACACAAAGTTTCACAAGGGAATTGGCTCATATTTTATCCTCAAAGGGCAAAATTCTTAAAGAACTCTGGGAGTCCTGCTATTCTTTTACTGAGGAGCTAAGACCCAAAGGAAGAATCCTATCAGAATGATGTCTTCAGAGAAGCAAAATTGCAGATAAGTATTTTTCCTTCTGAGTTAATTATGCAGTGCCACTAAGTGGTTTGTCAATAGTGGGTATCAAACTCAGGTTCTGTGGATCTAAAAGCATGAGCTTCTACTACCTTAACTAAAAGACCGTGATCTAATAGCTCAAAGACCAGACAGAATCAGAAGCCTTTCTGAGGTCCATCCTACAGAAGGGGACAGAGAGCCATGCTGGTTATACTTAGGCTGTACTAACGTTACCCAAGCTTTCCGCTATGTACTGCTTTTAAAAAACCAAAAAAAAAACCCCCAAAACTGGAATGGCTTTACTCTCACTTCTGATACTCAATATAATTAATAATAATTCTGTTACTTCCTTCAAATAAGTTTCTATCATTTCTGTTAACAATTATATTTGGCAGTATTTACTTTTAAATGTTTTGCTAGACTAATCCGTGCACTGAAAACTAAAAGCCAGCCTCTCCATTTTCTGTTGATATTTTACCAAATGATGAGAGTGCCCATAAATCATGGGTTGGTTTATGGCATGGAATGAATTCATAACTTTCCCCAAAGAGATAATGTCTTGCAGTTCAAAGTCTGTTTTCTGCACAGCAGTAGCTAAAGATGCTCTTATTGCTCTTATCTCTTTTTCTTACTGTGAAATAATCCAGTGATCCCATAGTGGTCTGACCATGAACCAAACCCATTTGGAAAGAAGCCTACTTGGAGTCAGAATGAAAAAATAAAACAGAGTTTAGCCAAGAAAGAACATGGAATGATTATCTTCGACAGCATGTGCTCTATTATTATTGCTGCTGGAATTTTTTGTACTTGAAGAATGGTGTTTGTTTCATGTCATCAGTCTATCCATTGACAAGCATCAGATTGTCACTGACAGTACTGTTTGGATAATCTGTGATACTGTATGACACTCAGCCAAATAATTAATTTCTGTTAGCTTCTATGTGCTATTTTAGTAACTGGGAATATCTAGTAACTCCTGCTAGAAAACAAATAATCAGTAAAATGTTTTCTCAATTTATCTCTGTACAGACTTGAGCTTGCTTACTCAAACTAAAATGCATAGATTAGTTCTTGAAAGCATATTAGAAATGCCAGCGTTTCTAGTCTTAATCCTGAAAGGCAAACTGAATCTTTCAAAGAATGTGTTCATTTCTTCTGGGAGGTTATAGTAGATGATCGTTTATTTTATGTTCACCGTTCTTGGTTTCTGACATGTTTGGGCATATGCACCTGAATATGGACATGTGTTAGAATCTGTATCTGCAAATCCCATTAAGTGAAAGTTGTTTTGTGGGTGAAAATTCTGACACTTCCATGGATTCATGCACATACACACAAACGTGCAGGTGTTAGAATTTTCAAACATGCAGGCATGTATGTGTTTGCACCTGAAAAGTGTGGCTGTATGGACCAGTATGAGCACACAGTCAGGTGTAGACTGGCAGAGGTCAAGCTTAAAATATGGTTCTGTATTACACAGTGCTTCTATGTTGGCAGTTCAGTGCATTGAGTTCTCCTACATTTAAATAAAATATCCTTCCATCCCTCTTGTTGCTGTTGCCACTGTTCCTTAAAGGCTGCAACTACCAGCTTCTCTCCATCCATATAAAATGATTGTGATCCAAACTCTTCTCAGTTTGCATAACTCCTCACCCAGAAGAGTTTCAATCCTCAGCCAGAATTCTCAAGTACACAGTCAGTGGGCATCAGATATCCCAGCTCAGCCTTGCTTTGAACTAGAGATGGTCAAAATGTGTCCAAATTTCAACTACAAATCTTCCTCATTTTTCAACTAGCTTTTTCTTCTGATTCAATGATACTTATCTGGAAAGGCATCAGGGACATGACATGAGGCCAGTTCATGATCTTTCAAACACGACATGAGTGAATGTCTCAATATCCATAAGTGATTATAATTTTAAACTTGAAATTAAACATTTCTTATGAAATAAATTTAATAAACTTTCACATCATCTCCTGTGAAAAAGAATGAGCTAGAAAGCAACTTAAAATACTTTCAAAGCAACAAGTTATTTGGAATTTCATTCCAGGAATAACCTTGTTAGTTTAAAATATATTAAGTTATATATTTGTTCACACACACAACAAACAACACTAGAAAAGAATACTAAAACCACTCGTAAAATGGTGATAATATTTCTGCCACTTGTATTTATATCCATTGTTATAATATCTATCCAAAATTATTACAGCATTCTTGTGATCTGTTATATTCTTGTTGACACAGATATTTTACATATAACGTATATATACTTTAATTTAATATTGTGAAACCTAAGGAAGGCCAACATAGTTTTGACTCATGTTTTTTATATTGCAGTTTATTGATGGTCGACTATCAAAGCTAAATGCAGGAAGAGGGTTCTCGGATGTTTTTGAAGAAGAGATCACTTCTGGAGGCTTCTGTGGAGGTACAGAATTATTTTAGGAACATTTGTTTCGATATATCATTGCCTCTTCCACAGGAGCTGTTGAGGACGATATCATATTGACTTGAACATAGTCAGATAAGCACTTATCCAGTTTAAGTGCCTCTGATTCATTCTTAGCAGGGTTTCAGTCTGTTATATATCGGTAGCAGAATAGCGAATTAGCTATTTAGCCAAACATTTGCAGTGCATTAAATGAAAATAAATGGAATTGTTTTACTGTAATTAACTAGTTTTTATAAAATCAAAATCAGATGAGATTTTATTAGATGATTTTAAAGTATTGGCTTGCTTAATAACTGATTAGATATTTACTGGCTAAAGTATATTTTTTGTAATAATTGGAAGACTTTAGTTCCCTAGTTCCCTTCCTTTTTAATAACGGTTAATTTAGTTATTTTCTAATGTCTCTTTTAAAAATTCCTTCATGTATCTCATGTAGTTCTGCAATATACCGAAGTCAAATTTCTCCAAAATATGAGTAATTACTATCTCAAGCAAAATGCACTATGCTTAAATAAATAATCTTAATGTGCAGTTCGAGTCTAAAAAGTGACAGTATAAAAATATATCTTCTTCTTAAGCATATCTACTATTTCCTGCTTGTATTCAGTCATATCCATTGACTTCAGTGACTGAAATAAATTTTACCTGTACTACTTTTAACTCCTGCTAGCCTTGCCAAGCCAGTACATATAAGAAAGCATAAGGTGGATACAATTCCATGTTCTGCATTTCCAACAGGATTGTCTAACCATTTCCATGGCAAGTTAGTTATACCTTTTTAGTTATAAACCAGCTCTATTTCCTTCAATAATTGTGATCCCCCACAATGCCATTTTTACAGTCAATTTTCATAGCAGAACCTCACTTTTTTGTATAAATGTGAATTGCGTGAACCAAATCATGTCTCTTAGGGCAGCTTTGTGACAGTCTTCTGCTACAAAGCTACCCTCAAGCTAGCAGATCTGGCCAATGGAGGATTTGTCCTGGAGAGCCACCATAAGAGATTCTGTGCCATGTCCCCTGGACTCTCGACATAGAAGCCTACTTGTCTAGAGTCTGACTATAAAGTGGCCTTGCTCCCTGCTTTCTCCCATCTTCCTAGCCTTCTGCTGAGATCTGGCCTGCAGTCTGTTTTTTCCTGAAGAGGTTAGGAGAGAATGGAAGTAACACCAAGTTTTAGTCTGTTCCCCTTTCACTCCTGCCCTTTAGGGCAACTTACTCATACAACTTCATGAATATCTTTTATGCAGTGGACATGTCCATTCAGATAGGTAATGTCAGTGCTTAAAGTTCCTTTGCTCTTTGCAGTTAAGAGGTCAAAAGGGTGCAGTGAAATAACATTAGAACTTGGATAAAGTTAGGTTCTTGGCTCTACATTGATATGTTTTGTCAACTACATGTCTTATCTGGCTATGCTCAGGAGGGAATGTTCACCTTCACTAGCAGTTTTGTGTTAGAATTTATTGTATCCTTACTTTTCAAGTCAGACAAGCTGTACCACATTGTGGACAAATTGCTTAGGGCACATATTCAATATTTACATAGCTGCTGTCTCATCGTCATTATGAGGTGCAGGCAGAGCAACAAGTATGGAATTGAGGGTGACATTTTGTGACACTAATGGTATAGAACTGTGGTATTTTTCATAGTTAAATCCCATCAACTTTGCCATTGGTTGAAGACTACACAACTGGGTGGAGACCAGCTTTCAGAAAGGTTACTAAAAGTCAAAGTAACCTATGCATTGTTGAAGGGGCAGGTGAACACATCATGAAGAACAGTGATAAGATTTTCATGCTATTGAGTCAAAAGAAAGGACTTTCTTTCAGCCTCTCCATTTTCGTTAATATTTTATTGCATTTTCCAACAAATACAAACATAGCTAAACTATGTAGAAATTTTAACTGAAAATTTGAAGCAATGCTTGCATTTAATCCGTTCTATATCTATAAATAGAGTTTTCTTTAAATATAGTGATTTGAAACTACAATTTTTAGTCTGAAGGATGGAAAAAAATTGTCTACCATATCAAAATGGCATTCTGTATCAAGCACCGTTCCCATTAAAACTTTTTCACAAGTTTACACCTTCCGTCACATGCATTCTCCTGCAAAGATAAATATAAGAATCATCAGTGCGAATGTAATTTTCAGTGCACTGCTAGGATTATTGATAGTACACCCTGTGGCCTTTTTCTTCTACTCTGTGTTAGCTCTGCTGGAGGGGCAGAGTTGTTGAGTCCTTATTGTACCTTCTAAGTGTGCCACATGAAAAAACAATTGTTAGCTAGTAGAAAGTTTGATCCCCACCTGCTGCAAAACCTTTTTCAATCAATTTTTTTTCCAAGGTAAATGTAAAGTAGAGGCAGGGAATGGGGAACGGTATGCCATAGCAGTCAAAGGTCTGGGAATAATGTTGAGAATCAGGTGTTCAACACCCTACTTCCCAGAAGCCTACCAATTGCAGGGGTATTAGGATTGCTAATCATCTTAATGTTCCCTTTGGGCCGTCTGCTTTTTCTTTTTTTTTTTCTCTTGCACACTTTCACACTATGCTTCACTGCATTCCCTTTCACAATGGAAAAACATTTTTTATTGATGGAAAAAGTATCTCATGTTTATTCCCAAAACCTATGAAATTAATTTCATCCGTAGAGCTTTCTTTAATATGGTCATATTGGAAAACAGGCTAAAACCCAGTGTCAGTTTGTGTTGCATTGCTGCTGTTCAATTAAAACTTTACGCACAGTTATTTAAACTTGTTTGCCCCTGGTCACAGCTGGCTGCTCAGAAATACAAACTACAAGTCTTGTAATTCCCAGCAAATTGCCTTCATACATAAATAAGTATTAGCAAGAAATTTAACTGGGAATTTTTCCTGCTTCTATAAGAGCAAACCATCTGCACCTTTGCACCTATCACCTATTTTTTTCTTGGACTGGGGCTTGGTAATAATTTTGACAGATGCATTTTACTCATCCAGAGAGGGTTTTTTTCATAACCCAAACGTATTGGCAAATTTAGTGAAGAAAATATCAGCAAACATTCGTATTTTATCAGTACACTAATTTTTTTAGTTGTGGTGACAACCTTGGAGCTACTGGTGGAAAAAGATTCTACTTAACAGTAAAGAAGTCAAGAGACTTTGAACCTCTGTTGGGAATGTGAGATTTATAATAAGAATTCAACATTTTCCTATTTAAATTTGAGGTAGTTCAGATATTGGCTCAGCATAAATGGTGTTTGCTTCATGTTTTCCCTGGTTGAGTATGTATCTGTTTTTCTTCACAAGTAAATGGTAGAACTCGGAAGGCTTTGTGATCTGCAAGCCTCCCCACCAGTGTACTGGTCTAATAAACCTCTTATTAAATTACAAAATCTCATCTACTGTAATCTCTTGTAACAAATGGAATTCAGAGGGGCCGTGATAAACACACTTCAAGTGCGGAAATTTCTTTCTTAAGCAAGAGCCGATGGTAGTCCATTATTTCAATGGGTTTTTGATCAAGCCCATAATCATTATTTGATTAACTTTGCCATAACCCTGAGCAATAAATTGTTACGTTCGCAAGTTCATTATATTAGTGAATGAATAGTGGCTACATTCTACTTTATGGTGAGGAAATAGTTTTTGTGTGTATACTATGTGTCCTCCACTAACACTAGTGAGTAGCTCACGAAAGCTTATGCTCAAATAAATTTGTTAGTCTCTAAGGTGCCACAAGTACTCCTTTTCTTTTTGCGAATACAGACTAACTCAGCTGCTACTCTGAAACTAGTGAGCCTAGTCAATCTTAAAAAGATAACTGTTCAGTCTTTGTGAATGTAGCATATTGGTTAAGGCACTTGTGCTGTGGATAAGTGCACAGTCAACTCTAGTAAGCTCTCTTTTCCAACTTGGCATCCCTTTCACTCACTGCACTGTTTCTGAGAACTTGGGTATTGCAGAATTGCTTGCAAGGAATTTAGTGCAATGGTATGGAACGTTTAAATGAAAGCATTTCTACAAGTCCAAACAGCTAAATCCCTTCACTTGTTTCCCTCAGAAATTGCTGTATTACCTTTTACGATTATCCAGGTAGTCCTCAGACATGGTCTATGAGAGCTAGATTGTTGGTGTTTTGGCTTTCCACCAGCCAATCCAGGTTCTAGTTATTAGATTTATTTCAGAGCTTAAACTTGTGAAATCTCCTATTAAAAAGCTGATGTTTTGTCAAAGGATATCAGTGTGTTCTTTGCAAAGTTGATAAATTCTCTCTTTGAGCAACATGATTTTTGTGATCTCAGATTTTTTGCTTGGAAGCATTCGTTCATAGTAACTGTCATTGTACTTCACAATATTAGTAAATTCAAGTGATTAAGCTACTCTTAACATTTCTCAAAGGTAAGAAAGTCAGTCTTGCATGTTCAACTGAAGTGTCTTCTGAAACTGATGTTTCAGTTCTACCTCAACCACCTTATCAAATTTTAGCATATCTTCTGTAGCCAATTTAATAATATAATAGCACCCAATGATTTTATCTATGTTGTTAGTTGTCTTACTCATCCACTTGCCTTCTACACTGTGAAGGAAAGAACATGTAATTTACATTTCCAATCACAGTGGGTTTCCCTGCAAAGGAGATGTGAAGCGATATTAAAGTCCTTATGCCTGTTGCTAGTCCTTTTCCCTCTGATATTAAGATGGTAGTGTCTGTAGCGCAGTTCATTTTCTCACTGCAAGTTTTTCTTTTTGCCCAGAGGAATAGGGGAAGGAACCCAGTTCTGGGTAAAAAGGGGGAAATCACCATATCCAATACAAAATATATTCTTAGCACAATATATACACACCCCTCCTTCAGACTTTTTTTTATAATTTTTTCCTTTCGTTTTTAGTGAGTCTGAATATTTGATGGCGACTTTAATTTCTCATCATACTTGAGTCAGAGTTAGCAGTTTTCTTCAGAGAAAACGATTGGGTATGGTGAAAAAGAAGCACTATTAGAAAGAAAACAAGGGGGTTCATAATAGGGTAGCCCCATTTTTGCTTTTTGTGTACATGGATTTCCCTCCTTCACAGTATTGGAAGGCTCAAACTCATGTTTAACAATCTATGGGGATTTTTTTTTAATACAAAGTGTATTGTGGAGGGGGCAGGAACACCCAAAAATGTGCTGAATGTGTGTCTGATTATTTTATTTTATTTTACATTCACATCTTAGGAAATTCAAGATCTTATCAGCAGTGGGTGCATACAGTAAAGGTATAACAATTTTATTTTTATTTGACTAGTTTATTTATCTTTGAAAAAGTCAGCATACTGAACATCGAGCTTTAAAAGGATATTTGACTTTATATGGTCAATTAGCCGCAATCTCTAAATTTTTGCAGTGTTCCTTGTATTATTGTAACAGAGAAAGTATATTACATTAGTAAGGAAGTTATTTTACCCAAATATTTTTGTCATAAACTAGTGTCTTTGTCATGACAATATGTTTATATTAGTTTAAAAATGAGAAAATGTCTCATGCACAAAATAAATGCCAAATTTTGGAAAGCACAGAATGTTTTTCTGTTTATCTAGCCAAGGTTTTTTCTGTATGCTATATTGTGTTAAATTCCATAACTGTGAGTTAGGTGTGGCACTAGGATTTGATAGGAATTTTATCACTTCTAGTAAACAGCAGTTTGGTTAATATTAATGTTTTTACATAGTCTGACTAACAGAGGACCTGTGTTGCACAACGTTGTTACTAGGCAGGATTAGTAAAAGATAGTACTGTTGACAAAACTCTTGTGATTATATAGGACCTGATTACCTCAATGTGATAGAAATAGATTTTTTAAAACGATACAATATATACATTAATAAGCCAAGGAAAACTTCCAATATGACATGTAATATGGTAACGGTTCATGCATGGGTATGAGAATACGTCATTATGTTAGAATGCATTGATAAATATGTGTCAGCCATGATAATGACATACTGTAACCCTTGTGTAGATGTAGACAGTAGGTTGTAGATAGAATGCAGCTGTGGAAATTTTTCCTAATTTAAAAAGAGGGCTGTTATTTTTGTACTTTATTTTATGTCAGCCTGTCATCTATTTTTCTTGCTAATGTTTTAACTTTTAACCTGTGTTATAAGGGTTATTAAAATATGCTTTTGTATGTTTCAGAAAGGAGGTGCACTAATCAACACAGCGATGACCAAAGCCAGCCCTGCTGTGAAGACAGCATACAAATTTGTAAGATCAACACAATCTGTACATAAAAAATTGCAGAAACCACCTACAATCTCCAGTTATTGTCAAAAACTGAAAAATCTGTATCCTTCCGATATGTATTACAGAAAAACATTACAGCCTAAGAAATTGTTTTCAGCTTTTATTCCTATCTTGTGGAGAACAGTAACCACTCCATGTTACTGTTTTGAGTGGTTCAGTATGCTATTTTTGGCTTCATTCAAAATATACAGTAGATTCTTATTTGAATACCTGTTACATATTTGAAATACAGCTGAAAACCTCTACTTAGCTGATGATACTAAAAACGGACTCTGAAAATACTAAATCTCATTTACACTAAGGCCCCTTTACTCCTCCCTGGCAGTGTAAATTAAAAGTCAGTATAAATGTTGTTTACAGTTCTAGGTGGTGTAAAGGAGTCTCTGTATAAATAACAATAAGACCCTAACAACTCCACTTTGACACTAAGTAGTAACCTATCCAAAGTAGGTTTGGAAGCATTTATATTGTGTGCAGGGAACGATTGCAGTCCAAAATTTCCACCATAAGCAAGCTATTACTTATTTTGTTGTGAGCATCTTTTAAACTTATTGCTATAGTGTTAATAAAATAGCACTAATTCAAAAAGTTATGGACTTGCACTCTTGGCCATTGATTTACAGCTTATCTAGATGAAGCTGGGGTGTAAATCTGCACTGCTCTAGCATGCCACATGCCAACTGTCCACATGAACCACGCTACAGTAAAAGTTACCTGATGCATTTTGATCTAGCCCACTTTGAAACAGGAATAAGATCCAAGTGTTCCAGGGAACTTTTAGTGCATGGTAGCAGGGTCCACACTGGCAGTGCGCAGCAGGCTTGTTCAGTGAAAATTTACACCCCAGCTCACCACACGCTGTTTAACTAGTTTTATGTCTTCAGTCTGACAAGCAGTCCAGTTTTTAAATTATCTTTAAATATCCCTAGATTATAAAGAATGTGAATTACATTATATTATCCAGGGTATAGAAACAGTGTGGTAGCTCATAAGAAATGACACAATGATTAAGTATTTTAAGATTGGGTTCAAAGCACACAGGGGAAGAATCTTCTCTGCCTTCCTTTTGGCTTTTCCAAGGGCTCTTTAGATTGATGCATAGTACAGTAGTTCTGAATAAATCAATGCTACAGTGTGATGCTAGTAGATTTTAAATAAAACTTTAAAAGAGAATTTTTAATTATACATCAATTCAAACCCTCACAAAAGTCATGAGGAGAGAAACAGGTAAATAAATTAAAGGTACTATATATCAACACACTCATTTATAATTTAAAAATGGTTCATTAACAGGCTAGCAGGAAATTATTCTCCTCCTCTGTTTTTCATGATCTTAGATGAAGTTTTATGATTTCCTCCCAGCCACCCATTTTTCCCATTGTGTCCCTGATCCTACAACTTTTTCTGCATCGGCAGACTCCTTTGTGTGCAAGAAGCCTTATTAATTTCAGTGGGAATCTGTGCCTGTTCAGGCATGGAACAAAGTGCAGGAGCAGGTCTATATGTGCTCTATTTTCCTTTCACCTTCCATACATGCATGCATCTACTACATGGCACCCTGTTGCTTGTTATTGAGCTACTGAGTTTATGATTTCAGGGTCACATTTTCAAAAGTTCCCTAATCTGGCCTTCAAAACTGTCCCAAGTTGTTGTATATGGAAACACTCATAACTCTCCCCACAAACTACATCTCCTCGGGTGCAAAATCAATAATTGAGATGTGTATGTCTGTGATTTTCATGGGTAGATTCTGAAATTTTTTATATATGGCCCTTAAATGTGAAAAGGCATGGGCATAATTTTCAAGGCTACTTTTGAAAATTTGGTTCTAAAAGTTAACTTGAGTCTAACTCGGTTCGTGTAAGGAAAACTTTCCTATTTCTCTTAAGACCGGTTAGCATTTTTTCTAGCAAAAATAGAATGTAGAAAACTTAGAATATAATTACTTGTCATCTAGAATGGTAATTCATCTCTAAATAGAGGGATGCCCTTGGGTCCATTTTCTGTGCAAATTATTGTCATGAACAATCATGGGACTTGGCTGTCTATTTTAATGCACACAGTTTCCTCCTATCAACACTATGCTGTTCAGCAGCGCTGGAGAAATTCTCCATCTGCATATAAAACCACTTCATTTCTTTTAAGATTGATGTTGCCTTGCAAATTACCACACTGGAACACTATAGCAGTGAGCTTGAAAATCTTAACAGTTTTCCAACATGAGTTGCTATTAAAATACTACTTCAGATTTAAAGTACCATCTCAAATAAGGGGATGGACACAAGAGACCAGCAGGACGGTTCATTTTTAGCAATAGGTGAGAATACATTGGCTAAATTAATGTGTTTTCACAACATTGGCATGTATGTACATCTCTTACTGACTGACTGCTATTAGTATAGCTAACTGGGACAGCCCATGTGAAATTAGTGATAGAGAGTATTATCCTTATATCACATAGAATTAAAAAAAATAATTTCTCATTAAGTAGGCCTTACGCAGCATATTCTTTGAACAAAGCCTATCTCTTGCACCACCAGTTAAGTCCTTTTGTTTTAATTTTCTAGGCAAAAAGTCATGCAAAGCAGGGAATAAAAGAAGTGAGGAGTAAGTTAAAACACAAGGTATGTAATACAATTTTACTTTCTTACCTTGCTTCTTGTATCAGTTTGAAGCTTATACTTTACAAATCACATGAGATTTGTGTTTTTAATGACTTTTGAAATATGCTTAGCCCTTTGTTCAAGAATACATTTTTCATAACGAGCCCTCTGGCAACTATCTGTCATTCTATGCATCCACTGAATAATCTCTTTATTGTTTGCATATTTTATCATAGAACAACAGAGCTCTTCAAAGATACATTAACAGGATGTATGTTTTCATAAAGTTGATTGCTTTGATATCACAATTGAAGCCTTTGCTTCAAGCTGAGAATTTAAGACAGGATAGTCTTGCAGTACAATGTAATTCAGAAGGTGTAGTTGTCTGTTTTGGATTTATAAGATCCAAGCACAATGTTAATGTTTTAAAATAGAGAAACATTTCAACTTTGAAAAGTAACACAGAAATATCAGAATGAAGCTTGATTTAGGCATTTAAGGACAGTTTTCCTAATGAGTTTTATTTCTTCACTTACGATTTTCCTTGTGGGAAGGGGGAACTAACTACAATGTTATTTTATACTTTTCTCAAATATAAAGTTTTAAAAAATATGTCATAAACATGAATGGATTTAAATTGTTTTATATACATTCTAAAAGCTTAATTTGAAAACTTCACACTGGGAAAGATGCATTTGATAACGATTAACTCTTTGGAATGCTGTATTTCATTTTGTTAATAGATATGATCTTATGACAGATATTTAATAACAATGATTTTTAGTACTCTAAGTATACACCGGATATGTAGATAAATATTATAAACATGGGATTTTAAATCTATTCTGTTGTGTAGGAGAGTGATGAAGAATATGGAACTTGTAGCTCTGGTGTACTACAGTGTGCGCCAGTGTACACATTACACAATCAGAAAAGAGGAAACTCAGAAAAACGAAGACTTGCTCAGGTAAGTCACCTGAAATCTGTGCTCACTTTCTTAAAATATGGGGGGAAACTGTTTTCCTGTTACAGTAGTGTGTTAAAATATTATGGTAAATACCTTTATTACCATCTGTATTCAGGAAATATGATAAGTAGTATTCACAATAATATTGCTTGCATAATATGCTGTTTTGAGCGTAGAGAGAATGGCTTATCATATATCATCCTCCTGGAGGGAAAAAAATAGGAAATTCAACAGGGAGATGAGGTTGCCAGGTACATCTCCAGGAAAAGAAATCTCAATTGATTCTTAGAAATAGGACTATTTTCAAAAAAATATTTAAAATTATTTAATAACTACTGTTTAAAAGTACTATAAGAATCAGTACAAAACAGTTAGATAAATGCTAGGCATATTGACGGTGTGATCTGTTGAAAAGTTTACTTAGTAGTCTGTATCTTTTATGGACTTCCATTAGATAAAATAATTTCATAGGCATAAAACACACATTTCAGATCAGGCTTGAATATTAGTTTTTGAATAAAGGAATTCTGGTATATTCATATATACCCAAGCCGATTTTCACTGCTAAGCTATCTTTTTACAGCCCTAAAATATAGTGGCATGTGTTAATACTTTACCTAAAGCCAGTTGATTTTGAGAGAGGGCATGCCTTTAATTCAGACCTTGCTCAAGCTGATTATCATATAGTGAATTTACTACTAAGTCAACTAGCTAACAGTGTGTCAGATGTCTTGTCTTTCTGTTCTCAGTTCCTTTAATGGGTCTGATTCTCTGTAACAGGTGTAATATCTCAATTTTAACCCAATACTAATTCCCGAATGTCCAAATTCTATTCGAATTATTGCTTTATTCTGTATAGAGTAATAAACAGTTTGCGGGGTTTTGTGATCTCTTTTGAATAAGAATATATATTTTTAATAATATATACAGACTCCTGTTTTTGATACCACAAATGTTTCTTCCTTAGATAAGATGGGTGTACTGTAGGTCAAATGAGTACCTCTTCGAATTGACAGTTGTATTTACCTGACTATTGACATTATTTTACTTTATATATAATAATAATAATGTTATGATAAAATTCTAGTTTTATAAGCCCATGCATTCAGGTTTTTTGAATGATAAAAAAGAAAGTGTTTGTGGAAACTAATATACAATTAGAGTAGATCAATGACTTGCTCAGTAGAATGTTAGAAAATATATGGTAACACTAAAGCCATTTGTTTCAGTGGTATAAATAATTTAGGCATATCTGTTTTAATTATGCAGGCGGATTCTCTTCTGTAACATGTTTTTCAGGTTTCTTTTTAAATACAGTAATACTAAAGTCTGCAGTGTATTTCACCTAGACTAACACAGTGCATCCTTTCTTTCAAGAACCTTGTATAGTTTAAATTTCTTATCTTGACTGTTGAGACAGAAGATATGCAGATACATTTAGAATTTTAAAAATGTAGTATTTATAACAGAAATTGATACTTAACATATTTATTTTTAATTGGTAACTGTCATTCTAATATACAGAAACTTTTTCTTTAACCACATCTGTGTCGCATAACACTGCTTTTTTCAGGACACAGTAGAAACACATACCCAAATCTGTTTATATGTTCACTTAAACTTTTATGCAAATGTACAACACAAATGTAGCTAAAATATGTGTCTGCACATTCAGATGCTTTTAAATGCTGCACATATACAAAAACTGTGAGTTTATTAATTTACTTCATGGTCAGGTCTGTCTGCTGTTCCACTTCAATTGTTTAATTTTAGTACTGGAGTCTACATCAATAAATTGTACCAAAGTAAATTTTATTATTAGATATTAATGTTTCTTCTGAAGGACTGTGTTATTGCAGAATACTTCAACATTTATCTGATTTTTCATTCATACAATCGTATACTACTGAGATTTAGTACATCTTTTCTGCCAACTAGCCAACTTTTTATTTTTGAAACAGCATACACTTCTTTCTGAATGATACAGTGTATCAGGTCAGAACAGCAGAGATTTTTTTGTCCTATATAGAGCAAGGAAAATCTTAATGTGCTTTAAAAAGCAGGAGTTTGTTTACAAGACAAGCTCTCTTACTAAGGGCTCCGTATCTGTGCCGAGCTGAAAGAGCAGCATGACCTATGTCCCCACCCCATCCTCACCCTGAATGTCACATGCACTCAGTGGGCAGGAAACAACAAGCTATAATCACTGACCAAGAAGTTTGGTCTTGTACAGTTCCAAAAAATGCAAACTGGGCTTTGTGGTCCCAAAACATCATTATCTATATGGAGTCTCAGGCTGTCCTATGTGTTATAACTGGTGCTGTTTTTAAACATGGATGCTATTAGCATCAGCTAACAATAATGCAAGATCCATTGAACTAACTGCTGGCTTTGAAAGCTTGCATCTATGTAAATTATATTACTTATTATTAAAAGCAAGTGAATTGCATTCATAACTACACTTCATAATTGTAGGACTTTGTCTGGAGCTTTCCTTCCTGCTGATTAATCTTTTTGTCCAGGTTTCTAAAATGGCACCGCTCACTGTCCTCTCAGTGTAGTAACTGAAAAATAAGATAGTGCTAATGGTCACACGGTAGCTTATTCATTTAAATATACATTTTAAATAATGGATAAAGATTGGTTCATTGAAAAATCAACTATCAGAATACTTCTAAAATCCCAGACAGTTTAGATTTTTACGTCTTCTTACCTCAAGACAATGTGGGCTTCCCCCACCTCCAACTCCCTCATTATTAACCATCTCACAGTAAGTCTTTTTAAAGTACTGCAACATAAAGAATTTAATGTTGCACTTTCTGTTTCATGTCAGGCCTATGGATGGGAGTTTTTATTTCCCCATTGCTGCTTTCCAGTAAATCATAAATGTCAAATTAGTCATTTGAAATTAATTCAAAAATATTGTTGATAATTTAAAAAAAACTTTTATAAAATAGTGTATAATGCTGAAGTTCTCTTGATTCTAGTGATCAGTTTAATGACTGTTTCATTACCAGGAGATTTTGTACAATAGAATGTGAATCTGCTTTTTACTCCAACAAATAGTAGTTTGTATGCTGGTCTACTAATTAGTACGGTTATTTCCTGTTTTGTTGATGAGGCTTAAATAAATGTCAAGGGTACAGCCATGAAGATCTTCCAATTAGGCCTTGCGTTTGTAAAACCCAGCCCCTTTGCTTTTGTGTGAAGATGACAGTTCCAACTGCAGCCTCAGCCTAACAGGGCTCCAGGGAAAGGATTCTTCTCTGGTTTTATTGAAAACAAGGCCAGTTTGGCCCAGTGAGAATACCAGCACTGGTCACAATGCAGAGCCATTTTTAACAATGAATATTTACTAATCTTTATCATTGCTCTTGTGGTTGTTTTAAAAAAAATTAGACTTTTAAAAAAATAATAAATCAGAATGAATTATGATATGTAAAATAGCCGTTGAAGCTTAATCAGAGGATAAATAATTAAATCTGTTATCACAAACTATAGTGATTTTATTGGTTTCCTTTCATTAGCATTTGGAAAATCTTTCCCAAAGAAAGCAAAACAAAACACAAAAAACCCCACAATTCAACTTAACGTAAGATAGTGTTAGAAGAATTGTTCTCTCTCTCTCTCTCTCTCTCTCTCTCTCTCTTTCTCATATATGTTTGAGCCCACTCTTGCTTAGGTTAGCTATTCTGGGCTTTTTGTGTGTGCGTGAGCTTAGCTGTATTGCAAGTCAACATTAACAGATGGATTGCCCTAAGCAAGGGAAAACCACAACAACAAAATCTAGTGAAAGTAGAGGATTGAAGCTTTTTATTGTTAAGCCTTATTAAAACCTTGGCATGTACACTGCTGTTAACTGTTTCATGCCTTAAACTAATAGCATTTCTCTGATATTTTCTATATTCTAAGTGGACAAGGTACCTGAGATAGTATGAGAAATTTCTAGTTAAATGTTTTGAACGACAAACTAAAGCAAAACATGAGATTGTTTCAGCCCATGTTTACATTATTGTGCCACATATTATTAGCAAATTACACTTTGTTGACTGTCTTTTTACTATTTACCAACATTTTTTGGTAATGCATGAATTAAACTACTGAGAACTCAGTTTTTCAGAATTCATTTTGATTCCTTTTCTTTACATGCATTGATGCAGTGCAGATTTTGGGTGGGGGGGAGTGTACACAGACCCAACTATTTTTCTACCATATTGCTTAAAATACAACTCCCCCGCCCCCGCCCCCCCCCCCCAAAAAGGAGTTTCAATAAGAATAAAGGAGGAATACCAGGAAGATCTGTTTGTTTTCATGAATATGATCTATGTAGTTTTACCATATGTAACCATTATCCCAGGTGATTGGTGGCTTATTTAAAAGGGAACATTGCTGGGTTTAAATAGTCCTTATGTATTCAGTGGCTTATAAAACATGCTAGCAGGTTTGCAGAGTACTGTGTAATGGCTATGAGCTCACTTGATAATTAATAAGCTACCAATGCACCCTTGTCTCAAAGGAAATAGACGTAAGACTTATAGGCATGCAGTAACTTGTAGCCATAATAAAAAATAGGGAATTTGGACTGTAAGTGTGGATTTACTGGGAATCCCAATGTGTCCCTGCTACTTTACTACATATATATCGAAGCAACCAGGTGAACTACTTGTCACAACTGTGCAGTATTTTAAATATAATGTTTTAAAAATCTCATTTATAATTGAAACTTCTTTATGTAACAAGTATAACTAAAACCAGTTGAGATTAAACCTTTTATCTTGCTTTCCCCAAACATAAGTGAATTGACCAAATAAAAGTATTTTCCTCTTTTCTTTTTAAAGCAGAACATAGAGGTGAATTTCAGATACGTAGTACAATATATCATAAGAAATAGAACACACACAGTTCAAGTGAAAGAATGTGTACTTCGGCTCGTCCTCAACAGCTATAGCAAGTCTTGCTGGAGGAGGCAGTATTTGGCATCTTCAGGAGAATACCGAATG